GTGCCAGTGTGTATGTCTATGAAGAGGCTCAGTCAGTCATGTCATGTGAGTGAAGGACTGTTCTTCCATAGACTCTGACTAGCATACCAAGGCTGCTAAAAGGAATTCATTATGCATGGCTTACACTATTTATGACCTGTTACCTGAAATGATGACTTGACAAACATTGATGGAATACTGATTGGGCCTACGGACACAGGCCCAGGGGCCCAATAGGTCAGGGGGCCCCTAGACCAGAGAACTGTGATGTGAGTGTTAACCTTTACATTGGACAGCCAATTGAATTTCTACAATGTGACTACAAAATCCACAAAATGAGACAAACATAAAAACAATAAATGAAAGGACTAAAACAATGGAACCAAAGTAAGTACAAACAGGTGTAAAATGGCTATAAACAGATGCATAACAACCACAAGTGGACCCAGACTGACTAGTAATGACATGATTGCTCACTCCAAGTGTTGCTCCTAAAAATGTAGGAGGAGTGGGGGCCATGTACAAACTGAATCTGTGCCCAGGGGCCTGTTGTCTCATAATCCATCAGTGGTGGCAAGGACTGCTTAACCCTTCCACCCTCCTCGATTGTACTACCCTCCTGACACTAGATTCAACCTTTTTCCCATTGTGGACTGATGCATGAAATTGTTATGTTTTTGCCCTATTATGGAACAGTGTGACTACCAGCTGTTTGTGTGTATATGTACCTGGCTGCCTTCACAGCCAAAGATAAACATGCAGGTTGTTTGATGCATCATTTCATTAGCAGAGAAGGACAAAGACCTGGAGCAAGAAAAGGGGCAAAAATGAAGAGACATTTCGGTGCAGAAGAAGTTTTAGAAATGGCAGTGAAGCCTTTATATGCCAGTGAGCTGCAGGACTCACCTGAAGAAGACGGGGGAGGGTAGCCTGACACACATTCAGAGGAAGGGTCAGAGGCACTAACACACCCTCTCTGTCTCTCTCACCCCCACCCCTACACACAAACAAAAAAAAAAAACTCTTAGGGCCCCCTGGTAGTCACACATAATATGGCAAAAACAACAATTTCATGCATCAGTCTACAATGGGAAAAAGATTGAATCTGGTGAAATACAATAAAAATGTCAAATACCACTACTTTTCTTCAATGTGAAATGCTACCATTACAGAATGCATGGTTTTATACTGTAATGGCAGTGAGATGAAAAAAATGTGGTTTCAGTGGAAGTCACTGGGGCATTTTTGGCTACCCGGGTGTCAGGAGGGTACAAAATGCATAAAAAGAGTATAAATGACATTTAAGAATAAATGACACTGGATTTAAAAAAATATTACTAAAAAGAAATGTTCCTGCCAAATTTCATGCCACAAGCTGTAACACAGCCAAAATAATCGCCAAATCAAAAAAAAAAATTGACAAAAATGGACATTTTTGCCCAAGGATGGTGGAAGGGTTGAGCTGAGTTTATGTACTGCCTATTAGTTTTCATCTTGATTTGATTTGATTTATTATCTTCAGTGTTTCATTAAACATATTGTAAACCAGAAAACTACAGAGAGCTTTCTGAGATTGTAATTAATTCCAATTTGCTTAAACTGTGTTTCAGGATTACCCAGTGTATGGCAACTTGTAAGTTCTTCATGACATCTTGGAGTTGCCACACATTTCCATGACCACGTTGCTGTTGTTATTTTACATTCATACATACACCATACAGTATGTATGTGGAGGAAAGCGATGTTGGTCTCATGTTTAAACATAAAGTATATATAATTACATAATGAGCTTTTCTTTCATGTTGCATCTGTTGTTTGTGTTATGCCTACAAAACTCCAAGCTAATATGATTTGTCTACTTGTAAGCAATATTCAAAGTACATCACAAGACAATGCCTCACATTTGTTGTGAACTGAGTAATGTTAGGTATTTTTAGTCAGATAGATATTGGATAGATACTTGATGTATTAGAAATGTTTAGTGAAGATAGGATGTCTAGTTAGACTGTTAAATGCTTAGTCATGCTTATGAGTTTCTACAGGGTACATCTGGTCAAGGATAACTAGAGAGAAGAGTTGATGACTGTCAGCAGACAGGGTGTTTAATATTATTATTATGATGTGTATAACTGTAGCCTTAGCCATAATATGTTCTTATGTTTAATGTCATGACACGTTACTAGAGGTCGTGTGAGAATGTTTTTAGCTACACACCACTTAATCAACAGACACACACACATGCACATTGATTTACTTCATGTTTTGACTACTGCTATGACCAGCTGCAAAGCTGGCAACAGAGACGTCTCGGTTGACGTTTCTGTGTAGTATGGGGCTAGCCCAACCGAGGGGCTATAATGTATAGGCCTGGTGGGTTCAGGGTCTTTCATCTTACATCTGCCTGCGTGCAGTTTGGAGGTGCAAGATAC